TTAAACCTGTCTCATGCTAATTTCCATGGGTGCCCCCTAGTTTGAGTACAAAAAATACAAGAGGGTTTTTAAGTTGTTTTTGCTCCCCATCCCTCCTGTGCTGAGTGGAATGTGGGTGAGGCAGACAATCAGACTCTGCTGGACAGGTTGCATTTGGACACATTGGCAGGAGAGAGACTATAGGGAGAGAGTTGTGGCTTCTTGAGCCTCCTCTCCTGGAGCTATGATTTTTGCAACTCTTGTATGCCCCTCATCTTACATCTAGAGATTTCGGCATCTCAGAGGCTCTCTTCAGCTGCTGGTTCTCCCTCCCTCTCAGATGCCCTTGATATGCCTCCTCCTTCCTCTTCCTCGGGGGTGGGCAAAATGCCCAGGGGCCGGGTGCGGCCCGCCAATCCATTCTATCCGGCCCGTGGGGTCCCTAAAAAATTTAGAAAATTAATATTTATCTGCCCTCGCATAGGATATGTCAGTCCTTTGGATGTATTGAAAGCTAATCGGTGTACCATTAACAATGAACAAAGCAAGCCTAATGAAGATGAAAGATTTGAGAAGGTTTTTGGGGTTGCTTTTTTTTTTTCTGCATGTTGCCCCTGTTGATTGGGTACAGTGTGCTAACAAGCTGGTTATCAAACAAAATGGAAATTGTTTTATTTTTGAATAGCTGCTTTCATTCTTCTTCTGTCAGTGTTTCCATTATAAATCTCTGTTTTAGCCCATCCATCAAAATTCTCATTTAGTTGAAATTTGGCAACCTAATTATTTTCCTGGATAGACATTTTAAATGCCCTTTCCTTTTAAAATAAAATTTGGTTAAAATCAGTATGCCTTTTTTTTCTCTTTCCTTTCTTAATTAGAGACCATTCAGAAATAGCCCTTTCAGTCACTTTAACTGCAGTATCCTGACTATAAAAGCAGCATCACTTATAAATGTGAAATTTGGAAGCCACACATCTATAATCTGAACTGATATATATTATTAAATTGCAGGATTTTAAAACACATCTTATCAGAGATGCAGAAAAATGGGAACAAAGTTTTCCTGAGAAATTAGTGCAGTTAATAATCTCCCCAAGAGAGGATGCAAGATGAGTTCTCACCTAGATAAAACTTAAGAACACTATTTTGACTATAGTCCAACCTAATGAATCTCCATTGTTAAGGGGAGATAACTTGAGACTTTTTATCGCTAAGCCTCTCTCTCTCTAAGCCTTACTCTTAAGAGAGTAGCCATTTCATCTGGTACCAGTAATAGGCTGGTACCCTCTATGGACTAGCTGTTAGAGTTTCAGCTCTGTGACCACATGCATGTGTGAATCTAGAATATGATCCATGGTGCTGTTCTGTGGAAAAAGGCTAGAGCTTTCTAACATGCTGAGAGTTTAGTGCCTGGAAGTAGGCTAGGTAATGTGTAAACAGGGCTGGTTAATCTTTAACTTCTGGCCAAAGAACTTTCTGTTCTGTTGTGTAACTGCTTGTAGCTCACGTGAGGCACAGAGACCTAGTTACGCCCTTGTAAGATGAATGCATCCTAGCATCCATTGCATTTCCTGGACCAGTGGTTAGGTTTAGAGAAGAGTGGCATCAGTTTACTTTATAATGAAAAGTTTTCTTGTCCTTATTAACCACTCTCCAGTAATTGGATGCTTGACCTCCAGACTATCATTTTCTTTTATATTTTTTTTTCTCCCTTTCCTGCAGAAGCAAAAAATGCCTATGTCTAAGTTTGTTGAAAAATAAGGAGGGGAAGCTTAGAATGGCTGCATTGTTTTGCATTAGAAAAGGAGCTGTTGGAAATGTACTTAAAAATGGCACATAATGAAGCTATTACAATAATGACTTTTATAGTCCCACTTCTCTGAGTGCTGAAATTCACAATGCATGGTATTTTTGCTGTATGTTGGCTGCAGACACCTTCCTGTGCTGTTTTATTGAAACACAGTGCTGCAATAACAGAGCAGCTGTACGAGGTCCAATGACCTGAAAAAGCCTGATGGCTGATTACCTCAAATAAGGCTCATTTTAGCTATGCATGCTTATTTACATTCTAAATAGTCTGCAAAGAAATTCTGGACCCCAGTAATAGCAGAGGACATTTTACTAGTATTTTATTTGCAAGGCTGCCTTTGTTCACTACGCTGTTTGAAGGTTGTTGATGGGGCCTTACATAAATCAGGAAAAGCAATATATTTGACGTGTTAACACTGTCACTGTGTCCTTAGCTCACTCTGTTGTGCTTGGGTATTGTAGAGGACTTGGAACAGGTGTGATGTGACATACAATGCTTCATGATTTATGCTTCTGTAGCTAGAGAATACAACATAGGATAATGGTTTATAGCTTGATTTTTTTTCAGAGATGTTCAGTACCTACAACTCAAGCTGGAATGAATGAGGATTGTAGGTGCCTAGCTCCTCTGAAAATCAAACTAGTAAAACTTTTTGGTGGTTAAGGTCAGATCTTCAAAGCTTAACCTAGGAAAACTTTGTGTTTTTTATTATTTTTCTTGTGGTAGTGGTAAGAGAAAGGAAGCATATCTGCTTTTATTTGAGTCTTCTATTTCATTTGGTCTTATTTTACAAGTGAATTATTTTGAACAGTTGAAAATAAAACAATCTGTTCAGTGTGTGTGTGTTTTTTTTTTTTAAGTAGGCAAGAGGGGGAGGGGGATATTTTCCTGGTTGTTGTTGTTAAAGGCATAATATTTTTGTGCACAAATAGCTCAAGGATGGTAAGCAGAGAACAGCATCCATAGATGTCATCGGGACTATGCAGATTCATGTCAGCTGAGAATCTAGCCCTGTCTGCAGAGTTCTCAATGCTTACTTTAGTAGCAAAACAATGACTCAGTCAGTTTGCTTTTTTTTAAAGAAAATTGTAAACTCACTTCTGATTGCAAGATGAAATTATGTCCTCAGTTATACCTGTGCACCTCCACTGAAGAGGGGAGCTTGCCTAGCTAATTTATGAGGAGCAGAAGATGGCTTGAGAATATTTGATAGCAGACAAAATAGAAGGAACCCAGCTTGACTTTCACAGCCAGGGCGTGTTTGCAGAATTGTCATTTAAATAAAATTATTTTAAGTTGTTTGTTGAGTAAATTTGACCTGGAGGAATTGTGAAAACTTAAAAAGAATCGTGGAGTAGAACAATACTATTTAGTCTTTTGTATTTTTCTTGTGTGTTCAACTGACTTCTGCATTCTCCTATTCCTGTTTCTGAGAGGTATCTTGGAATTGTAGTGGGAACATTCTGGGATTGTCATGCGGAGCAAAAGCCTGAATCAGGATCTGGGATGAGCATTAGATCAGGCAGGAGAATTATCTGAGGCAGATTTGCAAGCATTTCACACTGGTTGAAAGAAAGACTGAAGTCAGCCAGAACATGAGAGCAGTCATTGGGCCAGTAAACTTTCAAGACATTAGACCAGCATAATTATGCTGTAGAAAAAAGCTATTTGGGGTAATTTCTGTGTGTTCCGAATACAAAACAGAAGAGGTAGTTAGAATTTTCCTCTCCCTCTCAGGCTGATGCAACTGGGGTAATGGCAGTAGGGAAGCTTGGCTTTGCAGGTGGAGTAGTTTGAAAAATACAGTGCCAATACAGTGTTTCATAACTCAATAAAAGTATGTTGGTGATGGTTTCAGTGAAATACATATGGCATGTACAAAATGCATGATGATGTGGTAGAACATTTACTTAGGTTGTACAACTGATGGGAGGCTTTGCCATGTTGATAATTCAGCACTCAAGACCAGTAAAACCACAATACATATCTATATAACATGCTCACATACACACACTGCTGGCTTTATATAACTAACAATACCATCCCTACCCTCACAAGTATTTCATAGGTATTTCTTATACCAAGGAGTGCTGCAGATATTGAGGCAAAATTGTTTCATTATCTAAATCAAATCTCAAAAGATTTCATGTGCAACCTCTGTGGTCATGTTTGTTTATTTATCTGGGTATATATCTATTTACATAAGCCATCGTATTCTCGTCTACATACATTTCCTCTGCTAAAAAAATACTATTAAGCACTGTTAAATGATGATTCTTTCTTTTTATTATTGTATAGCGTCTTCTTTTCAAGTTTCTTGTAGCACTTCAGAGTAGATGATGAATTAAGCTTCACAGTCCTGCAGTGGCATAAGAAAAAAAGCATGCTCTGTAGCAATAGTGGCTAAAGCAGAGCTACAGAGCAGTCAAACATGTATCCATAGTGGCAGTATTTTCACTGCTGAAAAGGTATGTGTTGTCATGGAGGTAACTATCTTCCTGTAAAATCCTAGCAGAAAGAAGGCACTATAGATTCTTCCTTTGTGTAGGTCAGTGGTTTTCAACCTTTTAAGGCTCAGGGTACCACTTGTTAGACTAAAGTTACCCCTACTTAGACTTGAGGTACCCTTCAGAAGTGGTCAGCTCTTACTTTTTACTCTGCTTTTGACTATGGAAAAATAATATGGCAATTTTTCTATTGCAAAGAACTCAGAAAGACCACAACAGGTTAGACATTTTTAATACTATGGATTCTTGTTGGGTTTATCTCGTGAATCATATTTACCCACCTAACAATGCTAATGTTGCTCATCACCCCATGTAACCCAGAAAGGTTTTGAAGGCACCCTAGAGGGCCATGACCCCCTGGCTGAGAATCACTTGTGATATAGGGAGTTGAGGTCTATCCCAGAAGTGAGGAGAACAGTGGGATGATTTCCAACAGGTTACAGTCCTGTGCCTTGTCTTTGCTAGGATTTTTGATTGAGATAACTCTTTAGAGTTGAAGATCTTGATGGAGAAATGCATCTTTCTTTTGCATTGAATTTGTAGCCAATGAGTTACCTACACTGTCAGGACCCTGAAAATTCTGACTGCTAGACACTGGCTCAAACAGGTTCTTCCAGAGACTGATATTTAATACATTACTGAGCCAAGTAAGGATATTCTGTGAGTTTCAAATCTGATTAAACAAAATTATATTTTTTTCCTAGCTTAATCCACATTATCCAGAGGGCAGTAATGAAGGAAAGGTCCAGGTAAGCAGAATACTTTCTTTAAATGTAATATAGAAGAGTTTATTATGTTACTATCCTAGTATAAAATGTAAAGGCCCCTCATGGGAAGCATATGCTTTGTTTTTTGTTTTTGTTTTTTTTACCTGTATGTATAGCAGGGGCAGGCAATTATTTTGGGCAGTGGGCCGCTTACCCAGTTTTGGCAAGCTGTCAATGGGTTGCCCTGCCACTTGACAGGTGCCCTGCTCCCTGGTCACCATCTTGAGACCAATGTCCCAATGACTTGGGACGAATATCTCAGGGCCAGCGCTGGTGGGGCCCAGACCAGGGTGCAGGCTTGCAGGGGTCTGTGGAGCCGGGCTGGGTTGCACCAGCAGGGAGTGGGGGAGCTGGCCCGGCTCCATAGAGCCCCTGCCAGCCGGGACCCTGTACTCCTGCTGCCCTGCTCTGGCCCCGCTGGCACTGGCCCCGGGACACCAGTGTGGGCCCTGTGCACCCGCTCACTCCCAGTGCTCCCCAGCTCCATGGTGCAGGCGGGGGGGCAGCGCACAGCCCTGACCCCTGCTCACCGGCAGGGGATGAGCTGGTGCTGAGCGCAGGAAAAAGCGGCCTCTCTCCCGCCCAATGGCCAGCGCTCCCTGCTGCAGCCACTCACAGCCTGTGTGGGATGACCTGAGCAGGCACAGGCAGCCCCTGGCAGGCTGTGAGCCGCTGCAGCGTGGGATGCCGGCCACAGGGCGGGCAAGGGGCCGCTTTTCCCGTGCTCAGCACCAGCTTGTACCCCGCCCCCGCAGCCAGCCAGGGCCCTGCGCCGGCTCTGGGCTCACCTGTCGGAGCTGCGCCACAGTGGGAGCAGCTGCGGCTTCCCCACTCGTTGCATTGGGCAGTCTTTGCCACCGCCATCTCTGGGCTGCTTAGTGTGTGAGCTCTGGGCAGGCAGCAGCAGCAGCAAACACCACCCAGCGCGGCAAGTGGGGAGGCCACAGCTCCTGCCTCTGCGTGCAGCCCTGATAGGCGAGCCCAGAGG